GGCCCTTTCAGTCGTGGGGGCGTTATAATGTGACGGCCAATCCCCCTATTGGTAAAGAGTAGCCCAAGAGTTGGCGGTGGGTGGTGATGACTAGCTGCCTTCCATCTAGTCTTACACTGCTAAATTAGGGACGGTTAGCTCAGATAGCCCTCTTGTAGTTTTGCGCGAAATCTATAACAAACAAGCAAACCATAAAAAAATTAAATTCATATATTTATAAGATATTGTAAACTGTCTAATAAGATAAGGTCCAAAGTAACTTTAGCTTTTGATTACAGCTGTAGGATTAAATTCTGCGCATAGTAATTTTTTTGCCATGCCAAGTTGTTTGTTTCACAAACTAGTTAACAAAATAAATACTAGTATTTTCATTTAATAAATAAAACATCAACCGGAGATTATTTCTACTGTTAACTTTACAACCTTTACAACATGATAACAAATGTCTATCTAAGCAACTCTCCGAGTTAGATCAAACAATCAATCGCTAGGATAAGCTCGAAAATCCAAAAATTTCACACGACATCCAAAGAATGAATTTCTCTAGAAAATATACTTCAATTAAATCGGTTATAAGTCATGTGAAACAGTCAGGACATTGACTGGATAAACAAACAAGCCTTTATTACATGGAATCTCAGATACTGCGAACTTATCATAATTTCAATGTACAATAGGGTATAAATATTCTAAAACAAGAGGTTTGCTGGAGTGTATTAGTGTGTCGTGAGCTGCTCCCACAGTGATTTCTCGAGTAAGATAAGCACAACTAATGATTTCCGGATTTCTCGGTATTGTTTCAAAGGAAAACAAGCTTGGGCAACTTGATATGCTTTGCACTTAGATTTACAAACCAAAAATAAATAAATAAATAATTCGCAATGAACCCTGATGGTCACGATTAATATACGTACGAGTGTTCGCGTGTAGCAAACTTTCTGTAGTACCAAAAAGTACAAGGATATGAAAGGTCAGTGATAAAATTTGGATTTGCAAAGACAATGTTCCAATTCTTGTTACTCATTTGATCCCCCCTCTAGTTGCACAGCGGAATGTCTGCAGACTTATGACGCTAGAAACCGAGTTTCGATACCCGTGGTGGGCAGAGCACAGATAGCTCATTTTGTAGCTTTGTGCTTAATTACAAACAAATCAGTTCCCGTTACTCATTTGAGTACATCTCCACCACACAAGCTCAAAGCCACTATTTCTGCCAAATATATTTTTATTTCTATTATTTATATTTCTTAACGATATATATATAGATATATATATATCAAGAATAAATTGATAAATGCATCAATTGATATTACCTACTATATAATACATGCTTATATTATTTATTTTCTAATTACCTTTGTTTTACATGTGTAAGTGAAAACAACAGTTTATACCAAGAACTGGTTTATAGTATCAAGCAAGACGATAGACTCAAAGAGTAAAATATAGAAAATAAAGATTAAAATGTTTTTCACTGATACACTGTTGACAATAAAAATATAATTTAACATCATGAAATTGATGTGCATTTTGTTGTCCTTCTAAGAAAAAAAAAGTAAATATGTTTCAATGATATACTGTTAACAATAAAAATGAGAATATAACATCTGATGAAACTTCTTTGGTCTTAATAAAAGTTTAGATATCAATTGATATTCATCTAAAATAATAATTCACAGTTTTTATTCAAACGATATAATTCTCTTGAAGATGTTTTATGGGAAGAGGCCTTATTTGTTTGTAGCTATTCAATATTTATATGTTTGTAATTACTAATATTTCAGTGTGTACAAAAGAAATAAACAGATAAGCGCCTTTATACCTAGTGACCCTCTTCTAGAAGACTTAAATTGGTAAGTTAACTAATTAAAGCTGAAGTTGTGTGAATGTTTATAATGTTTGACAAGCAGGAGGATATTCCCGCCCAACTATGTACCAAATACAGCTCTCTATAATGATAAACCTATATTAAAATTTAAGAGTTAATTTCTCGATTTCCGTTAAATAGCGTTTTCTTTGGGTCTAAAAGAGTGTTCATCGTGTGAACAAACAAACGTGGTTTTAATATGGATTTTGCGCTGATGCAAATTACTATCACACGAAAATTATTAAACGTCGTGAATGGTAATCTTGAGCTATTTATCACTACCTAAAAATCACTTGAGAACGATGTCTTGTGACTAATAATT